TGCACAGCGTTATGACTTGCTACCTACATTCCATGTTTAGCTTTGAGAGATCAGATGGTGCCAGCAATGTGAGCTAGCAGTGCCTGAGGACATGCTCAGGGGCAACACGTCCTGTCCCTCTGCAGCTTTGGTTTCTTTTCTCTACTTCTGTCCCATCCTATCCCCTTAAGGTGATGCATTTTACAATAAACACCAATCTCTTTAGGAGGTGAGCTGCCCCTGTGGAAGCATGTGTACCATTCCCACTGTGCTGTATGTTAAATCCAAGGGCCCAAGGTTTGTAAATATTGTTTCTAAAGTATCTGGGGACTCCAGGTGAGCTGCTTGCCCTACTTGCTGGTGGCTCTGGAGCTGTGGTTGGTACATGTGGCACACGGTGGCAGGCTGTTTCAGCATTGTTACTGATGTGATTTAATGAAGCATGAGTGGTATTGGAGGGGGTAAATTTTGTCTTTGTGCATGGGGAAAGGGTCATTGACAAAAGTTTACAAACAAACAAATGAGTTTAAAATTAGGCTTAGTTCAGCCATGTGCGGGAAGGGAGGTGGATATTTTCGAGTTGTGTTTGTTTTGTGCTTAGCACTGTGCAAAAGTTACACCCAGTTCTTGATGTAGGAAAAATTGGATAGGTAAGCAGAAAAGTACTAGCTCATTGCCTAAGACTGCTCTTGCTCTGTTACTCTCCTCATCCAGGGATGCCATGGGAGAGGTGCGGTAGAGACATTTTAATGTGGTAGTTTATTTTATTGTGAACTTATTTTCACTGGGATTAATCAGAAAACTGAACTTCAGGTATATTTTTAGATGTTTTTATGGCAGAGATGCTGCAAGTGAGCTCTGAGTTGGAGACGAGGGAGGGAGGGGGGAGCGGGAGGAGGGAGTCTGGAGATGGAGCCGGTTGTGGGTTCGTTCCACTACATCTTTTCATCTTTCCCTGGTACTGCAGCACCGCAGGAGTAGAGTTACCGACAACATTCTTGCTCAGGTCTCTCATCTCTCACTCAAATAGAGGGTGTAATTTGACTATGTCTCAGCTCCCATGTGTGAAGGCTGTTGATGAAACTGTATGTATGTGCATTTTTAAGTACAAACAAAAACCAAACACAGACAAACACAAATCTCAATTCAGATCTGTTCCATGATCCTGGATCACCATGTGGTTGTTCAAACTCTAGAACTGGCATGAGGCCGGAGGGAGAACACGTGGCCAGAGCTGTGGGGTAAAGTAAGGACTGGCAGTCTGTCCTTCTGAATGACAGCTGTGGCTTACATCAGGTTAAATCAGTCTGTACGCTGAAGGCTGAGGCAAAGCAGAACGGACTAAAAGCAGGTTTTCGCTTCTAGCCTTGAGTTTCCTGCAATCCTGCATCAGCTTGTGGGGGTGCATGTATTTCTGCATCCCAGCTGCCATGGAAAATGAGAGACATCTTCTTACAGGACAGTTCTCACAGTCAGTATTTACTGAAGTTTTCTTGATTCAAATGGCTGTGTCCACAGCTCTCATGGATAGATTGTGAATCTGGATTTTTACCTCCTGCTTCTCCATTCCTATCAGCTGTTTCTGGCTGCTCACAGGTTAACAGTGAGGCCTGCTGGGCTGCTTAATGGGTGGCCTGGTGCTGCCTTTGGGCTGATGCAAATAATTTCTATTGGCCAAGGTTATCTCCTCCTGACCTTGTAGCCAGACTTCAGCCTCCCGTTGGCACGGTAATTGTGAAAAGGAGGGCTTCTGAAAGAATTCCTATAGGCTGGAATATCCTTTCTGGTTTTGTGAAAACCGTGGGGTTTTTTCATCACTGCTCTGGATGGCATAGGAAAGCGCCTTAATGTTAAGTTTGCAAATTCAGAGAAGGTTGTGTATAACAACCTTTAGAAAAAAGATTCTTTTTTTTCTAAAATCCACAGTGGAGACTATAAATTTAGTATGGCAGGAGGCTGCTGTACTCAATCCACTTTTGCTGCTGTACTTTCTTGGTTGCTTGCTCACTGCACGCTGGTAGCTTGCTGTACAGGACACATGGCATCTGATTTCTTCCTAGCTGTAGCCTTTTGTACCAAAATGTCTTTTACCTTGGTTGCAGTTGGTTCAGTTTACAGGACTAAATGTGTTTGCATGCTTTTGGGATGAACATGGACTTCTGTTACCTACATAATGGAGTGAGGCAGAGGGATTAGTGGGGAAAATGGGGAGAGCGGGAGGAGTTGAATGGGGTTTCTTTTCTTTTCTGGAGTCAGGAGACTCCTCCCGTAGCAGAGAGGGAGCATAGTACATGGAACCTGAAGACCTTTAAAGTACATGCTGAAATGGATGCTGGGAAGATACAGTACAGTGCTTGGGCACAACTCCAAGGCTCCCAAGGCAAGTAATATTTAAACAAGCTGAACAGCCCCTTTCGGCAAGCAGCAGGAAATCCAGCACTGAGCTTTGTGTTGTTGCATGGTCAGCAGAAGATAAAAGCTCAGGCTATGCAGCTGGGGTTCCCTCCTATCACTGGATGGCAAACTGTTAAAAAAAGATAAAAGAGCAGAAAAGGACAGGGGGTCGCCTAATTGAAAAGCATTCCTTCATATTTTAAGCCATCGAAGTACTTTGAAATACATTGAGCCTGATGTAAGTCAGGAACAGCCATATTGGGGTGTGTTGGAGCTTTTACATCAGTTGGCAAAAGATGAATTTGTCCCTCTGCTTCATCAGAGATAAAGATTTAACATGGGTAGGACTGTGATATGCGTAGGTGCCTCACCACAAGCCCCACAGCAGGCAGGAGCTTCCCAGACATTTTTTTTGGGAGCAAGGCATGTTATGGTGGGTCTGCTGCTGACTTGGGGTCTCATTCTAAAATTCAATCAGCATTCAGCCATGTATAGCCTTTCCAGGACCCACTTTCTGCAGCTCATCCTTGGTTAGGAACTATTTTAACAATGAGGAAGAGAATTTAATTGAATGAGATTGCTAGTTCAAATCTTCTAATCAGTATTTACTGTATTCCTCCCCTCCGTCCCTCCTCCTTTTTTCCTGCATCACAGCACTAGTGTCTTGGGAAAGAACTAGCTTCAGAGCATTTGTTACCAATTTAGCATCAAGTACGTGCTCAAATTTGGGATTTCTGAGATCTGTGTGTGCCATATGTAGGCAAAATGTAGTACTTGCAAGTTCCAGTAGAAGGGAATAAACACAAATTTGCAGTTCTGCAGATAGTGTTTCTTTAATCTAATGAGACTTACATTTGTGCAGCCTTTTTGTTTTGGTAAGACGGTTAACCGTCCTCCCTGGGGTGCCTAATTGCTTATCATGAACTAATCAGTCCCCTGGGTATATGAGGGGATGAAACACTGCCAAGATAGAGCCTGTGACTTCCCCAGAGGTGTGATAACCCTCCCAATTACCCCACCCTTCAGGGAGCTTGCTTACTGCTGTTTTAAAGACCTTGTAACATCAGAAATTGTCCATGTTTGGAGATTTTAGGAAGTTTAAAGGGGTGTATTTACTGAGACTCTTTTGAACCTGTAAGCTCTCATATTTTTTTATGTCAAATTTATATTGAATATTGTTTCAAGTTTGGTGTGAAAACACTGAACATGTTTCTGCATATGAAAGTGCCTACCTTCATAGCCCCCATGGCATGCCAGACCCTAAGAGATAAGGAAAGGGCCAGTTTCTGTCTTCAGCTCTTACTAGATAGGGATGGCAAAATCTTCTAGCTTCAGAAACCCCATTTTGAAGTTCACACGAAGAAATGAATGAAACAAATCTGGTGGTAACTCTTTTCTAATTTTTGGTAGAATGATAGTTGCATGTTACTATGTGTGAAATGAGTGGGTAGATTCGGAAAAGTTTTTACCTTACTGTAAAAAAATAATTCATTTAACTAGTGGTTTTGCTTGCATTCTCCTTTCAGTTTCCTGTTTTAACTCATTCATAATATATAATACATGCTTGTCTGCTGTACAGGTTGAGGTAGCTACTGATTGCCTGAATTCTTCTCTTGTATCTTTTTGTATTGAATGGTTGAGTTCCATGAGACATATAAAACTTACTGCAAAGAAGTGGAAGTGGAAAACAGCTCCTGCTATTTAGCATCTGAGTGAAAATATGAGTTCTCGTGTTGAGGTTTCTTTGTCCTTTACTTTTGCTCTGAATGAACACAATTTTTGTGTGAAATTTGGAGGATTGAATCTCTCAGTTGGGTAGAAATAACAGTTTGTTCCTTGAAAGAGTTATAACATAATCAATTAATAATATATCAGGGGTTTTTTTAATTTTGCGGTTCTTTTAAAATACTTAAGGTTTTTTTCACTTCTGGTTGTATATTCTAAGTGACCTTAGCAAGATCGATGTAAATAAAAATATTGTTATAGTGTATATTGGCTTAAAACTTTAAAGGAAGGCAGTTTCATACTTAGAATTAAAAGAAGGTGGCTGTGTGGGGGTGTATGTTTATATGCCTCAGAAAATGTAAATGTGGAAGCATCACTCCTCAAAAGAAGTGTGATTTTCAGTATCATAGGTCTGATGATGATATTTCAATGTTGCTTTGCTATATGTGCATATTTGAAAGTGATTAGTCAAGTTTCCACTGGCAGACTCTTGCTGTCCTCCTGCAGAAATTGGGGTAGGTGCACAGGCCACTTGATCACTTTTGTTGCTGTTTGTTCATTTTTCTCTGTTTGCAACTACTACTTTATCCAGAATTGGATTGAACCTGTACATAGTTCATACTAGTTTGTTTCAGGCTAATGCTTTTGTTAAATATTTATCAATAGAGTCAGAAGAAGGAAATTAATTTCCCTTTTCATATGTGAATTGTTTCAAGAATTGTCTGTATCATCTGTTTCATGGAAAAGTGTGAAGCACTAGCAGCAGAATTGGATTTTTGGAAGGAGAGGGTGGTTTTGTACTAGCAGCAGACGTTTTTGGTTCGAGGAATAGCAACTTGAAACTTCACTTACTGAAGAAACCTGTTCACAATTTTGTCTGTTCTTTTTTTTTTTTTCCCCAGCGTTCCTGAAATAAACTTCCTGCAATTCTTTGCAGTGTGCAGGTGTCCAGACTCCCCTTTACTCATGGTCGCCTGTGAAACCCGTCAGGCAACTGAAGGCTGTACCTAAAATTCTGCTGGCAGTGCAGCACACTGCAGGGGCCTTGATATAGTTACGGTGGACACCTTGTGCAGCAGCCACAGCTGTAGCATCCCCTCGTAGTCCGAACAACTGAGTATTGCTGTCCAGGAGTCTGCACGTGTGGAGGACTGCCTGGAGTAGAAAAAGGAAAGCTGCAGAGATTGTAAGCTGCTGCTTGATCCGTGTGGCTGTTGTGCCGAGGAACATCAAAACTTTGCTGGATGGATCCGACAGCTCGTTGCAAAGTAGAGGGTCAGTCCTGCTGCTTATTTGCAGTTATTAACCTTAGTGGATTTTAATTTTTTTTTTATTTCCTTTGGTTTTATGTTTTTCTCTGTATGCCTAAGAGGATTGTGGCCTTGCAACCAGAATGCTCATGTTCAGGAAACTTAAGGCTGTTCCTACTGAAGGGCTTTGAAGATCAGCAGGCATTTCCTCCAGGGTTTACAGCATTGTTGGAGGAAACATTCCTTGCAGAAGTCTTCAGGCCTATCCGCCCGACTTTGGTCATTTCTTACCTCACCAGCACGTGGATTATGCTGTTTGCAGACTGTCTAAGCTGCACGATGACCTTCATGGATTCCTCATGAGCTTTTACAAGGCCAGGCCAGTGTACTTTGTGAAATCCTTTAGAAATGCCTGCTAGGCTTTTAAAGTCCCAGAGCATAGACTATAGTACAAGGAACTCAGAAGGTCAGCAGCTGGATATGGTTGTGGATGAAGGGGGATTTGTGTGTGTGTGTGTATGCAGTTCTTGTTTTGAAAACACATATTTTTTCAGGTCAGATAGAGATATATTGTTCCTGAGAAGGCTTCTTGTACTCTCTGATAAAGCTGAGTGACTTCTGAATGCCATGAGAAATTGATGAACAAGATCCCTGTGTCCTTTCTTTGCATGTGTGTTGCACATTTATTTTGATGAACAGATGCTGTTTCGTTTTGTCAGTGTGCTGGAAGCACCTCCCACAGGTTACTTGCACTGCATCTACTTCAAAATAGAAAGAAAACTCATACTGAAGAGTACCACTGGCAAGTAGCTCTGCTGTTTAAAATTTTTTAAGTGGCTTTCCTGTGTGAATCTCAGCTTGGAGAGTCTTGCCAGCACTATCTATTGTTGTAATTAATTTACCTAACTAAACCAAGAAAGAAACCTTTTATTTCAGAATTTAGAGCTCTGTAAACAAGCCCAAAGGCTACTGGCCAGTGGGTGTAAGCCACTGGGTGTGCTCACAAAACCTGTGGCACCTTGTTCATAGGTGGTGGGAGAGAGCTATTTTTCTGAAGGCTGGATTTCTCCCTCACCTGGACGGAGCAATAAACCTCAGTCTGAGTGATCTTTGGTGTTTTAGCATCTGTGGCAAATACATATCTAGAATAACCCCCTGTAAAATTAAAACCGCTAGTTTGTATCTTTTAATTCTGGCTCAGAGTATCAGGACAATGTCAGCTGATGGTTGTCTGTGCTTAATATCACATGGAGATTATGTAGCTGGTTTATATCTGTTCCTGGTCCTTAGCACACTGTAGGAGTTGGTTGGCTTGAGATCTGCTTGTGCCTCTTATGGTGGGGGGCAGATGTTGGCTTTGGCTTGTGGGCCTGCAGAGTCTGCTTGGCGTGAAGATACAATCTCAGAAGGAGTGCTACCAGTTATCTTGCTCATGAAAAGCTGGGTAGGCCCTTGGGATATTGCAGCTGGAGGCTGACATTACAAGTGCCTCCTAGCATGGGTGGGAGAGGGAGGGCTGTACAGCATGCTTCTGAGTCTCTTTGCTCCAGCATCTCTCTCTCTCTCCTCCCTGTGGGCTGTGCTTTCCCTCTGAAAAGCTCAAGCTAAAACTCCCTAATTTAAAAATGTATTTCAGGGGAAGAGGGTAGGGATATGATTTGTGTTTCTGAACTTTTAAAATTATCTTGGTTATAGATTGTTGTTCTTGTTGTTTGGAGGATGTGATAGGAGGAATAGTTTCTGTGCTGACCAGAAACAGAATACAGGAAGATATGATGTTAACAAGGTGGGGGAGAAAAGGAGGTGTTTGTTTAGAAAAAGCCTAGTCACTAAAGCCTGTGGGGCAGAGGAACCCTGCTGATAACACAGATGAAACGGTCTGCCTCTTTCCTAACTTTAGAGGAGTGGAGCTTTGTAATAAATGGCTGCCATGTGGCAGCTGTCTGCCAGCTTCGTGAGCCTGGCAGTAGTTAATCCTGTCAGCAAGTCATGCTCCCTGGAAAAGAGCAGTGAGAAGAGCTTCAAACTCTTGAATCATTCTATCTTCAAAATATTTGCATGTTAAGTCTGCTTAAAACAAATTTGGTAATTTGATGTAGGTTTCCATCTTTAAGTAACATTAAAGTGCAGCTGTGTTGGCTTTTAAATAAAATGTTAGAAACATGCTGAGATATTGCAATTTTTTCTCTCTTTAAAAAAGTCATTTTAGTTTTAGAAGGTATATTTTCCGGAGTACAAAATGTACTGCGTAGAGAAGGGACACTGTGTTGCTATCCCTGTATGTTAAAAAATTACAGGTTGAGCATTTGAGATCATGGTTATCCTGAAAAGCTTGAGGCTTTAAAATTAATCTGTTCATTTCAGTTTGCTTTTTGTATTTTGCTGAGCATGTAATGTTTTTGTCCTTTTTCCAAAAATCAAAAAACTAGAACTTTGGCATTAAAAATTTGAGATTTTGTGCAGTAATGTAGCACCATCAGATTTTACAGGCTCATGATAAAATCTTAGTGGTTGACAACACTACCACCAGGAAATGGGTTTAAATCCCTGTAATTTCTACTTTTTCTTTTCTCATTTTGCTGCGTTATCTTGTGAAGCATAAAATGTTTTGGCAAGCTACCTGGTACAGTGCTCCAAGCAGAGCGTGCGCTGGCATCTCCTGCAAAGACAGTGTGGTTGGGCTGCAAAGGATGAGTTGGGAGCTCTGCAGTAAGCAAACTGATGCTCTCCCCCTTGGGCTTGCCTGTGTTTGCTAGCATATGGATGCAGTTAGAGTGGTGAAACACCATGTGGGACATAGCTACTCCAAGAGGAGTTTTTTCCTGGTCTCTAGCTTATCCTATTTTCAGAATGATTTTTGTAAAGTTGCCTGTGCATTCAGTTCCTCTGTGAAACTCTTCACATACTCATCTTGGAGGAAGAGAATTGCAACCAGAGCAGCGCACAAGAAGCAGGGCACTAGCACAGAAGATTTTCTGTGTCTTCCTCAGTGTGATTCATCCTGCCTCTGTAATCCCTGCTGAACCCGTCCTGCACACACACGCAGCTCTGGCTACATGTGAAGAGAGCAAGTGTGAGGGGGTGAAATGTTTGCTTGTTTCTCCCTCCCGAGATTTGCTTTAAACCTTCACCTTGAGTGCTGGCTCCGAAGCTGCCCTTGGCTGAGCTGCTGGCCATCAGGGTGAGGGACAGAGATGGGGACAGGGACAGGCCCTCCCTCCCTCCCTCCCTCCCTCCCGGCCTCCCCAACAGCTGCAGGCACCAATTGCCAGGGAGCAGCCCGGCCGCATGGTTTCGTGGCTGTCTTCCTCTCGTTACCAATGTGCCTGCTTGTTTCCGTGATGCTGTGCAGAGGAACAACCAGACGGATTGTCTCCTCTTGGGGTGGGTGCCCAGGCATCTGCACAGCCAGTTGGTATGGCACAGGAGCCCCTGTTTTTTCAGTGACACCAGGGGCTATTGATGGCAGGCTGGGGCTGTGCTGCTGCTGCTGCACAGATGCTTGCTCTTGGCCCACCTTAAAAGGACAAGATATCCCGTGGTTTAGACTGGCCATATATTGTTGGGGATGTCAGCATCTCCGTCACAGCTACCCAGCTGAGCCCAGTCCCTCCTCGCCCGCCGTGCGTGCCTGCAGCCTCTCCTCAGTCAAAGAGAGGGGTGCTGTAATTCGGAGTAATTGAAGGGCGGGGGGGGGTCCTCTTTTCTTCTCTGTTACTCAGAAGTGTTTTCCATCTGACTCTCCCTAGTGCAGTGCATCTAGCTCACCCATTGGGCTCTCCGACAAGTATCTCATTTCCTCAGCACAGTCTTGCTTAGGCACACAGGTGATGGGACATTAACCTATAGCTCCCCCCACATCCCCTCCAGGATTTTAGGTCAAGTGGGTTTGTCAAGGTAGCGTGAAAAGGAAGAAATCCCCCAAGCAACAAACATAAAAAGCTACATTTTGATTGTTTCCTCATTTTGCAATCCCCTCTTCCTTGTCTGAGATGGCAGCAGCAGCAGGCGATGAGGTTTTGTCTCCCAGGGCTATGCTTCCCTAGGATTGCTCCCCTCAGACAGGTGCATCTCTCTTTCCTCGGCCTGTTGGGTATGGGCACAGGCACGGTGGGGTTGCCCACTCATCCTTGCTTCAGCTTCCCCCTGCCCTTCTGCTCTCTTGACTCGCCCTGGGCTCCTTCAGGATGTGTGGGCAGTGGTTTTGGCAGGCAGTGTGATGCCACTTGCCTGACCTGTCCTGCCTTTGCAGGATACTTCCATCCCGCCTTCAGGGCCTTGCTCCAGTCTCTGGCTCTGCTCTGGAGTCCCACCCTCTCCCACACCATCTTCCAAGGCTGTCCCCTTGGCTAGTGGGATGTAAGCCAGCCCTGGCCCAAGTGAAAGATGCAGCAGCCGGACTAGGGAAGACTGGTAGTGTGGGGAGAGACCCCAGGCCGTGTCCCAAGGAGTGTTGCCCTGCTACAGCCAGTGCCAGCTCAGGGGAGACTCAAAGGGACTTTCTCGTGTCGCCACTTCAGCTAAGGCAAATAAACTGGACTTAAAGCCAAGAAACACATTGACTTCCTGGAACTCTGCGAGCCGTCCGCACAGCTGTCCCCACTCCCTGAACACATGCAAAGCAGAGCTTATAAGGACAGACAGTATTGCTTTTGTGTCCTTCCTCAGCCAGTGGGGAGGGCGCAGGGGAGGGGATGTGCTGGGTAAAGCCCAAGGCCTGTCTTGTTCCGTGTTCCCCCTACGTTGCTGTGATTCCCAGTGCTCGGGGGAAGCCAGACTCCCTTCCCACTGGCCTCCTCACAGCTGTGCAGGCAGGCAAGGATGAGGATGGAGGAGTGTTTGCAGTTGTCAACATGGGAAGGAATGGATGGATGTCTGCTTAGAGCCACTTGTTTTACTCTCCTGTTGCCCTGACTTTTTTTGTTGCCTAAATGTGGGGTTCATGGTCCCAGGTTTGTTAAGCTGTCTTCAAATCTCAGTATCCTTTTTGCTTGAGCAAACTCTTCAAAGCTAGCTGCAGTTTTG